CAGCCATGAGTACGATGGTGCTATCCTACAAGTTCCTGATTCAGCTAACTTTATCTCCTTTCTTCTGTTCCTCTGAGCATTGTAGCTTCTTTTTCAGTTATTAATATTGGAGGGACATGGTGTCTCATCTTTGCTCTTTTAGTTTTCTCATATTCATATGTCTTATTCTCCTTAAAAAGTACTCTTTCTTTGAAATCCTAGTAGGGTTTCTGAGTTCCTATCTGGTCTTTGATTGATAGTTCCTTCAGGTTTCTCCTGTGTGTGCTGTGTCCAGCCTGTGAGGACTCTGTAATCTTGCCATTTATCTGGGCTCTTCCTGAGTCAACTTGACACAACAATTGGAATTTCTTTGTTTTCTGCTTGCACCTACATTGGGCTGGCTTGTTTGTGCCATGACTTCAGGAGTTTTTTATTTTACTTTTTTAACCCATGGAGCTAAGTATCACCTGCATAGTTACCCCACAGACAGGTCCTTTGCTTCAGCACAATGCTGGATTTTTCTACCTTTCTGATATTTTCTTTTGGATGAGGATATAGTTCCTCTCGGTATTAGTCAGATTTCTCTTCACTGAGACACAATTCCTGGCACCCACAATTTAAAAGAAGATAGATTTCATTTGACTTGTGTTTTCTGGAAATTCAGCACATGCTTTGCTGGCTAAGGCAGAAACATCATTGACAAAGCACACAGAAGAGCAAAGATGCTTAGTTCATGTGGCAAGGAAGCAGATCACTGGGACAATGCCAGAGAGGAAAGAACTAGAAAACACATATGGTAACCATGGTCACATTTCTATGATCCAGGAACACGTACTTTTAGGTGTTCCTTAATCCAGTGAAGTTGACTAATCAAGATTAGTTGTCAGATCCTCTGTCATGAGGTTCACATGCTCACCTCATCACCAGAACATGGTCCCATATCTTAGATGCAATACTAGCTAAGCTGTTTAAAATTCTCCATCTCACTCTTCCTTTCCCTAACTGTAGCCTATTTCTGGTCTCCATTGTGTGTGTGTGTGTGTGTGTGTGCACATATGCACATGCGTGTGTATTTATGTGTGTGTGTAGGAAGAAAAGCTCTTGACTGGTAAGATTTTAGTTCACCAGTCTTTCTTAGGGCCTGACTTCTTAAAAATGAAAACTTGTGGAAAAATTTGACTCTTTTGTTACCTGCATTCTTTTGGGTCACATTCCTTTCCTGCAACAATATAGGGAAAATATTTGTTGTTGCAGGAAAGAAGTAGGAATAACCAAAAATGCACAGTTTATCTGTTAGCATACTGACTGAAATGTTTTTTTTTTAATTCTAATAAAGTTCCTTTTCTCTTGATCTCCACCTCTCCCCTTTCCTTTTCACAACCCTCTTTGATTTCCCACCCCCGAGGAGAGAATGATCTCTGCTTAAACAATAATTTGTTCAAATTTTAAATGTTAAAAGCAATGGGTACCACTCCCATAACACCAACACTCCCTTGTTTGTCTCTAAGCACTTCCAGTACACTCACTAGCTGACAATCATCCAGTGAGAAGGAAACTATAGTTATCCTCATTTTATAATAGCTGGAATACTGATGAGGCACACAGGAGTTGAGCAAACCCCCCAGGTGACACAGTAATGAGTGAAAGAGCTACAATTCAAACTTAGGTAGTTTGGCTTCAGCATCCGCACTCAGTCACTGGCCCGAGTTTGATCCCTGGCACCAAAATAAAATAAAATAAAATAAAATGACTCCAAAGAGGCATAAAAAGAAGAAAACATAAGAAAATGAACTGTGTTGCTTTGTTCTCTTCAACAAGGATATTTTAGTGCCATATTTACCTTACAAGTACTAGTAGGTCAAACTCTTATCACTGCCACACTCAGATTAGGATGCCAGTAGGGTTAAAGGACATGTTTTGTCCTGCTCATCAAAGAGGACACAGAAGAAAAAGCAAAAAGGAACTGCAGTGGCGGGAAGATTTATCCCTATGTTAAGGTTCTTATAAAGAAGTCCAGAGAAGAAGTATCTTTAAAGTGCTCTCTGATCTTTACAGGGAAAAAATACAGAATAATTCAGTGGTTTCATCTATTTTTCTACAGCCATCAATCTTAAGCCAAATTGTAACTGTAATGAAATAGTCATGATAGTGATATTTAAGTTGGTTATTGAAACACACTTAAAATAAATGTGTTTATATAGAAAATTGACTCATGCCTTCATGAAGTTTAAAATTTTATGTTGTCTTTATTCTGGGTAAGTATGAAAGCCTTGATCAATTTTTCTCTACAAGTAGTAATCTGAAAAAAACTTTTATATTTCTTTATTTCTTATTATAATACAGAATATCTTGCTTATTTACCTTTCTTTTCTGTAAACTGTGGTAATGGTAATGCTTATAATTTTTTAAATTGAGAGTCATAACTAACTAGTTTTCTTTAAAGTTATGTATTAAATATATGTGCTTGCAATGAATGTATTTTCATGGAAAATTTCCTTATTAAAGTAAAAGTAATTATCGATAAATTACCATGGAAGAAACAATTCAGATGAATTTCACTGAATGTGAAAGAAAATATTACGGTTGGAAGGTCTTTTGACCCATTTTGGACAAAGAACAAACACATATTCATTTATTCATTTATTTAAAAAGTGTTAGGTAACTATTATATACAAGGCAAAAGTCAATATGTTAACAATGCCTATTAGAATATCATAATAAATAATGATACTGATGAGGACCAGTCCATTCATTCCTTTATACTTTAATGGCTGGTTAAGTCAAATGGTGGGGTGGGGGCTCTCCATTTAAGGCTGTTAAAGTGCCCCAGCTTCTGGTAAATATGCACTGTAGTTATAGTTATATTTTTTGTTCTCAAGGCTAATAATAATGACACCCCACTGAGGTACTTAGAACCTGAACTAGTCAAAACTAAGGGCAAAGAAATAAGCTGGTACATGTCAGATACAATTTTTCATCTGATTATTGTTGAAAATTTGATATGGTATATAACTACATTAAGTACCAAGCAGATATGCATATCAAAATGCCATATTAAATACATAAGTATTATCAACAAATGGAGTAAAAGAAAGTTAGTGTGGAAATTTCATTAAGGAAATAGCAGTCCACATTATTTGTATGTAACCTCCTACTACTTAATAAACACAAATATTTATCTTTTTGTTTCATGTATATATTTTACAATATAGGAAATTGGATGCAAGACAGAATCATTTATTTTATGATAAAATTTGGAACTTAAGCAACATCTCAGCTTTGTTTTATTTTTTAAAAATGTAAATCCATAAAAGTAGTAAAATTTAAAAAATGGAACTAACCATGTGAAATCACAATTAATTACTTTCATTTTTCTTTAAGTGCTTCTACTGTATAACTATAAAATTGCTTTATATAGAATTCCTTAATTGTGCATTCCATTAATTGAATTTAATCTTGAAAATTTAGATTTTCATTCCTTATGGTTCTTCTTTTCTGTACAGAATTAAAGCAAAGGGGCTGGGGATTTAGCTCAGTGGTTCGGTGACCTCCCTCACAAGCGCAAGGACCTGAGTTCAATCCCCGGTACCACAAAAAAAACAAACAAACAAAGCTAAAAGATCAAATGATTTTAAGAATTACTGTTCTGTAAAAACATTTTTAGTTATTTCTACATGAAAATGTTTGCCCTATGTCCTCCCAAATAAATATCTAATATTCCTCATGGGTTTATAAAATGGCAGAGATTTTTAAAAGTAATTAAAATATGTTAATGAGAGGATAATATTTTCATGCTAAACCAAGTGTTGGGAGTCCACACATTATTAAAATGATTTTAACATACTTTGACCTATATTTTTATTTGCCTACATAGAAGTTTGAAAATTGTTGATAGTAGAAAAGTTAGTACAATGTCATACCAGTCAAGTTTCTTGTAGTAGACAGATTTCTATGGACCAAACTTTCATTCAATTAGCCCTTGACCTTTGCAACCAGGAGCCTCATGTTTTCAGTGCCTTAACTAAAGTGAAGCTATAAGAACAAGCTTTGAACAAAGGAAGCATCTTAAAAGCAAAAGTCTTCTCTGTTAAATCTGTTTTATTTTCTTTATTGAACACAGACCTGAATGCTTTTGTGCCTCTAACGGTGTAGAACACAGCTATCTATCAGGCAGGTAGAAGAAGCACAAAGGTAGAAAAAGAACGGCTCTCATTTTAACCTCACAATCATCAGCCACAGTGCTTCACAGGGGCCACCTCTATTTCCTTGGTCTCATCGCCCATCTCTGAGAGGTGGGACTTCCCAGAAAGATCATTGTTCCCATTCCCATACATTTGCAGGGAACCCAATGCCATTGTTCCCCATCAAGAGTCTGGCAGTAGCAAAACTACCCCAACCCACTCAATACAGTCTGTTTCCTTAACCTGTTCCATTGGTGATATCAGAAGAACGGAGAAATGAATTCAACTCTCACTCATACAGCGTCTGCTTTCTGAATGTCTACTTAGCTATTGGGTGGATAAATAAACCCACAAGGGGAACATTACAGTCTGAAGGAGAGCTTTCTAGAATTTTAAAATACCACCAAGGCACTGGTACTTAAGTGGATGAGGAGTAACCAAAATTTTTAGAATGGCTGTCAGTTCACAGGATAGCAATTCATGACTGTCCTTTTCAGCTTCCCAAGTATTTATTAATGGATTCATTTTCAGATTGGTCTATATAATGGAAAGAGGCACTATTGAGTTACAGGGAGCTAAGTCAAGAAAGACTGGCACTATGAGCAATTGTGGTAGATTCCAGTTTGTTCATGCTTTCTAATCCCTAACTACAGAGCAGGATAAGAAAGTGCATCAGTCAAACATGAAAAAGCATTTGCTGCCTCTCCAAAGTCCAGAAGTGCTTAAAAACAGTGGTGTATATAATTCGGAACAATAAACTACGTGCACAGAAGGAGTTAATCATAACCTAAAATTAAAAAGTGACAATTTCATCACACGATTACACTGCTGTTTCCCTTTTTTCTTTTTTTTTTTTTTTATGAATTTGTCCTTTTTTTGTTTTATGTTTCATTTCCACTTTTTTTTCAAACGTAGGGTTGGGGGAGGGTAGTTATTTGGTCCACCGAAGATTAGTCACCCTCAATGATATATATATTAGAAAAAATATCAGCAGCAAGACTCTCTGGAAATAGATTCTGTTTGATGTAGCTAGTCTGTCTTTTCTGTTTTTCCCTCTTTCACGGCAGCTTCTGAAGTTTTCCGCAGGGGGGCTTTCTCCGAGGTGGCATGTCCTTGGCCAGAATCTGCCGCTCCACCATTTTTGTGAGAAGTGTGTTTTTCCAAGTAGTTCAGCATCTCACTGAGGACTGTCTGGAAAGTGCTTAGAGCTGCACATATTGCTGGAGTCCCAAAGCCATGAGTGATCAAACTGGAAATGAGAAGAGGTAGAAAAAAACAGGTAAATCTTTTGGAACAATAAATTCCCTCCCCATTTAATCTAGAACATTCAACTGAACACGAGTTTCTTGACTTCCTAAATGTTTTTGAGCATTATGGAAGATACTACATAACTCAAGTACTGACATTAACCATAAGAAGTGTGATGTGGTTTTTTCCATAAAATGGAATACTACTCAGCCATAAAGAATGAGAAATTAGAGTCATTCATAGGAAAGTGGATACATTTTGAGGATGCACTCCTAAGTGAAATAAATAAGTCACACATATGTAAATACCGAATAGTTTCTCTGGTGTGAAAAACTATACTAGTACAGAAGATCCTAAAGGGATAATTAACTATGTGAAATAGGAAGAAAAGGGCTAAAGGTGTAGGGAAAGTGGGAAGGGTAGGGGAAGGGGAATAAGGGAAAAGAAAAAATATGAGAAAATTGAAAAATGGAAATAAAGTGCTTGTAAATGGGGAGGGGAGGAGGGGGTGAAGAAAGGGCAAGGACAAGGGGAAAAAATGAGAACCGAGACCTGTCATGTAAAAGTACAAGATCCCAATAATAAATGTAACTGTACTGTATACCTAGAATGTACCAATAAACTCAATAAAAAGAAAAAAAAGAAGTGTAGGGCCTACAGTAAGTTCCTGAGTTATGAATATTCTAGTCACTACTTTCACAGGTATATTATATAAGACTCACTTGGTCAACTTACAAACAAATCCAAATTATGATCCATTCTCCTGTAACAGAACTCATTAGTAAGCTAGGTATTTATTGTATTTGGAAAATGACTTGTCACTAATAGACTTGATATGCACTGATTATTAGCAAGTCTGAATGTTTAATATATGACTTGATTTTCCATTGCATTAGGAAGTAATTAGAAATGTAACTTCCTATGTGTAGAAATCATCTTGTCTTCAAGAGTATTATATATGCTATTATGGCAATAAACCAAACATGAAGAAATCATACTTGATAAATGCACCTGATAGCTACTGATTTCTCTAACTTCATCTTCTCATAATAGAATTGTTTTTCTGAGCCCATGGGTACCAATTTGAGACTATACTGTCAAGTTTCACTTCCAACTAAGTGTGGACATGACATTAATCTATCACAATAGAACCCAAAGGAAAGTAATGTATGCAATTCTCTCTATTTCTTCTTAAAATATACCCACTATACAGATGAAGATAACCACCTTGATGGCAGACAGAATAATGTGGAAGGAATCTACTCACCTCCAGATTCCTATATGAGAGAGGATAGAATTCTAACTTATCGCATAAGAAATTCTTTGGGCCTTGAAAGCTAACTAATAACTAATAATTTTAACTATAAAATGTAGAAGGGAGTAGGGAGTGGGAAAAAAAGGAATCAAGTATATCATGTGCAGGTGCAAATTCCCCATTTTATGTATATCTAAATTGTACCAGTAAGTGTTTTTGCTTCAGAAAAACACAAAAAATATAGAAATTTTGTGATAATCTCAATGTAGATACTCCTTGCAACCATGGACATATATGTATAACTGTAGCTTCACTCTTCTTGGGAACAGAAAATACACAAGTTTTTCACTAGTATAAATTTTTATGAAGTTATACTTTCAGTCTGCTTTACATAATTTATGTTTTATAATACTATAACAAAAATTATTGCCACAAACTATGCATATAAATGCATATATTATAAATATTTATTATAGGTGTATAATATATTCAACACATGAAGCTTACAAGTTCTAAATTGTCATAGTTACTATAACAGCAGCGGTTTTTAATATTAGCTGCTACTATCTGTTATAATATGTTAACTAATTCTAGTTAATTCTTTTTGGATATATAATCTTTAACAGAAAAACAATTCTAATGTTTAGATATCAAATGCCCCCCAAAAGTCTCATAAGTCTCATGTGCTCAGAGGGGCTTTGAGAAGGCAATTAATGCTGCATATATAATTATAATATTTTCAACCCATTAAATTCATAGCTGAATATTAGGAGGAGCCTAGTTGGAGATAGAAGGTCACTGGAGGCCTTGAAGGGTGTATCTCTCTTTTTTTGTTGGTACTGGGGATGGGATCAAACTCGGGGCTTTGTGCTTGTGAGGCAGGCGGTGGCATCACTGAGTTAAATCCCCAGCCCAAAGGGTATGTCTCTTTACTGCACTCTTTCTCTTCTCCTCTGCTCCTGAGTTGTGAGAAAAAGATCTTTCCTTCACCATGCCTTCCCCCATGATGCTTCTGACTTGGAGCGCACTGACTATGGAATGAAACTTCTGAAACTGAGAGCAAAAATGAACCTCTTCACTTGTAATTTATTAGTGTCAGGTGTTGTGTTCCAGCAACAGGAAGCTACCAGTACAATAACATTTTATTTTGCCATGCTGGAGATTAAATTTGAGGCCTCTGCTATGCTAGGCAAGGTCAATAATGAGATTTTAAAACAATACGAAGAAAGGTTATGGAGTCTAAGGTAGCCTTCTGATATACCTCAAAGAAAGTAATAGTAGGAGCTACCATAAAGATTGTTATTTATGTTAATCCATGCAGAGAACTCAGGCAATGCTAAACCTACACTAAGCGCTTAATAAATGTTAGTGTTGGTTGTAATGTATTCATAGTTACGGATAAAAATTCTTTTACATCCTTTTATTATATTGCCACAGTCTTTTCCTCTGAATATTTTACAAAGCTTGCCCCATGCCTCAGTCATAACTAACACAGATTTTAAAAACTAATTCAATCTTCAATCATTTAATAAACAACAATAGTCGAGGCTTATGCAGTTATTTGCATCAAAATTTGTAATATAAGATATTCTCCAAATTCAGATACATACAAATCTTTTCTGCCTTCCCTTCTACGGTTGAGCAGAAAAATGCATTTCAGCTCTTTTTTTACAATGATACCACTACTAGAGAATAATTCATATGATTTGGGATTGATCAGAGAATTGTTAGAGTAGTGGTAGAAGTAATTGTAATAATATCTACAAAAGAACTGAGTGAAGCCATCCCTTAATGTCTACATGGTTGCCTCTGGACATATACTGCTCCATTTCCCATGTTTTGTTTCTGTTTAGAGTTTCTTGCACTGTAAGAAAAATTTTATTTTCAATCATCTTGCCACATCCTCTTGGTTGTGACTCATCTCTTCATCAGTAGCTGAGAACACAGTATGTGTTTTCATTGTGGATAGATATTGAAATTAATAGCCACTATTTGAATTACAATATAACCGGGCCCTAAATTCTTTGTATGTAGCACATCATAAAGTATTAGCTGTGATACTAAGAAGTAGCTATTGTTGTTTCTGTTTTATAGATGAGGAAAGGAGACCCAACAGATAAAATTAATAATTTACCAATGAGATTGGATATTACTTATTGCCTTTACACTTATGTTTCTCTCAGGATGGAGGATTTACTGTTTTTTGTTTGTTTGTTTTTGTAAACTACATTTCTATTAGCAGTTTTAGCTCATTCTCTGACATCATAATTTTCTGTGGACTCCTTTATAGTCCAGAAAGATGACGATTTTTCTCACTTACTTTCTGGTCTAATGGCAGGAATTTTAAAATTAAGTACAAAGTTGATAGAGCTACATAAATGCCTTCTTTCTCCATGTTATAAAAACAGTTTTTGCTGCACCAAAAGATTCCTCCCAACTGATAGGCTCTCTTGCTTCCAAAAATATGCAACTTACATAAGAAGTCTGAAATTCTGGAAGATTATTATTAACTCACACTCTACCTGACTTTGCATCCAGCCAGTATTTGAGTATTAGTTACCCCCAGGAGGAAACCACCTTTTAAGCAGAAGGGGTGGGGATCAGAGTATGCCATTAATTGGGATAACCAAAGGCTGAAATATGGGAGTTTCTGTTCTCTAGAGTAGTAGGATTTAGTTTTAGGTCTGTGTTCCAAGAATGAAGAAGATGTATAATACAAAAATGGGCCCAATATTTGGGAGCAGGGGAGGGTAGTGCTTTGTTAGCACATAACAAATTTAAATAATAATTAAGATATTTTGCTGCCTTTTCAAAGAATTTAATACTAGCAATAGTATAATTAATGGAGTTGAGACATTTGTTAGGTCTCAAGAAGCTATATTTTTGGATAAGGAAATGCAGGCACAGTTTTCAAAGATGATCTTGGAGAAATTATAAAACATAGAAAACAAAGTAGTGAAATTGAACAGAGTAACGTGCCTTAATAATTAGAAAGAGATGAGTTTTAGAAACTCTGAGTTATTACATTATGTTTAATTAGTCTTCTGACATTTCTATAATGGGATAGTTTTAAAAAATGAACTTACCATGTTTGAATTTACTTTACTTTTATCAAGCTTTACTCACTCATTTCAGTCAGCTGAATTTCAACAAACCCATACAATTGTGTTACTCCCACCATTAAAAGTTTTCTCAGGCGTGCTTTAAATCATTTCATGCCCCTTCTGCACCTTCAGCTCCTGGCAATCACTGCTATATTCCTGTCCTAACTTTCTCCCTAAATATCATATAACTATCAGATTTTTTTCCCCATACTAGAGATCAAACCCCGGGCCTTTTGCATAGTAGGCAAGTGGTCTACCACTGAGCTATGCCCCCAGTCCAGCATAATAATTTTGAGATTCATCCATGTTGCATTTATCAATAGATTATTTCTTTTTATTGCTGACAAAGATTCCATTAAATGGACTCAGCACAATTTGTTCATGCCATGGTTTATTAAAACTTTAGCATTAGCATTTAAAAAATAGAAGTGACCGCTGAAATGTTGCATGGGTTCAGTTGACAGCACAATAAAAGAACTGTGCTGCCTTTTCCTGTGCTTGGTAGCAAACAATATTTGGTAGACAACTTAACTGATGGAACAAAATAAATTATATGAAATTTAAGGGAGATTAATGAAAACATATCCACTTGGGTATAAAGGAAATCAGTGCTGCAGTGTACCAAAGGAGAGGTCTAATTCA